TATCTATCTATCTATCTATCTATCTATCTATCTATCTATCTATCTATCTATCTATCTATCTATCACTTTTGTCTTGTCACAGAGGGGTGACTGTGTTAACTGCAACAAATCTTCCAGCACAAACAGACATGTAAGACATGACGGTAGACCTCTAATCTTTTCTCCTAACCATTTGTGCACACATAGGTTTACCTAACACCCAGAGGCTCCCCCCCACCCCCCCCCCCCCCCCCCCCCCCCCCCCCGCTTTTCCTGTTTCCTGCCGTTAACATAGTACGCGTTTCTGATTTGGGATCCGGTGTTTTTAATAAAGGCAACAGCGTTGTTCCAGCTCATTAGCAGAGCTGCTACTGCAGCTGCTGCTGTCTGTCTTTTAGACACGGTCCTGGCTGCCTGAGCAGAGGGGACGACCAGAGGATTGCATTTGGGTTGTGGTACGTTTATAACTTCTCATTCCTGCTCTGCCTGCCGTTCTTGAGTCCAGGAACTGGGGACTTAAAGGCAAAGATTTGAAAGCAGGCCTGGTTCCTTTCCTCGGCGCAATTGAGGTCTAGCTGCAGTTCTCCTCGCGTCTCCTAGGGGGCAGTACAGCTCCTCTGCTCAGCCTCCAAAGACGCTGCCGTTACCTGTGGTTCCCACATCGTTGACGTGGTTTGAATGCACAGGCCTTCTGCATTATCTTGTGTATCTGCTCACTCCCACCACTAACCCTCAGACGCTTGTGAATGACTTTATTTTCAGGAGGAGGAAAATGATCTCAGGGAAGAGAAATGGTTTGACATAAACAGAAGATAAAAATGGCGTTGAATTCCTTTTATCCACAGGCCGGGGTTCCTGTTGCTCTACTCCATTTGTTCCTCTACTCCATCTGTCTTCCCAAAGTTAGAGCCGCAGAGGGACGACAGATGGCGGGCTTGGCTTTTGTACCTTGCCCTTGTAGTTCTGGGCCTGGAGAGAAGCTGGAATAAGATGGACGGAGGTTGGACAGTGACGTAGGCCAATCCCAACGGCAGCTTTGTTCACCCCAGAAGAGCTCTGGGACAAAAAAGGCTTCTCCATGTTGTCCAGGGTGGACCCAGATGGCTGTGTCAGGATTCCCTTCCTCCACTACCCTTGGATGTAGGCTGCTGAAGAACCATGTCTGTGGTCCAGGCACCTCTACAGCTATGGCAAACCCAAAGAGGCCCTGCTGAAGGCTTTCTGTCCAGAGCCCTCCCCCCGTCCCCCCACCCAGCAGCTAGGGCCATGTATCCTTCTTGAAGCTATATCTGGGAGGTGCACCATGGCTGTCAATTTCTCTACTTGGAACGTTCTATTTCTTTCCATTATCAGATCTCCCTACCTTTCTGAATACAACAGGGCACACTCAATGTTTGTACATCATGCAAGGCCTGAGGATATGGTCTCTGAGTCCACTTCTGAGTCTCACTGATGGTTCTTCCCTTCAGCAGAAGCAATGTCGTGTTCCATCCATCTGTGCCCTTCATATTTCTACAGGAAATGGCTTGATTTCGTTCATTTAAAAAGTACTTAGAGGCTGGGGAAATGGCACAGTAGGTAAAGTTTTTTTGTTTGTGTTTGTTTGCTTGTTTGTTTTTACAGGCATGAACATCTGACTTTGGATCATTAGCACTCACTTTTAAAAAAGCTTGGCATGATGGCACATGGCCATAACAACAGCACTGAGGTGTGGAGTCCTGGAGGACCCTGGGTACCTGCTGTTCACGCAGGTTAGCCATTTGGTGAGCTCCTGGTTTAGGAAAAGACCCTGCCTCAAAAAAGAAGGTGGAGATTTATAGAGAAAGGCACCTGGTGTTGACTCCTTCCCTGCTACCAAAGCCAGTGTTTCCAGGCCTCCACCTTGGACTAAGGACCAGTGGCTCCTGAGGAATCTTCCAGGTCTCCAGAGACAGATCAGATGGTTGAGACATCAGCTTCAAGAACAATGCAACCACTGGGCTGTCAGCCTCTCAGGTGTGACTTAATAAATTCTCTGTGTGTCCCCCTCTCTCCCTCCTCTTCCCCCCCACCTCTGAGTCTCTCCCTTTCCCATCCCTCCCTACTCTTTCTCTCTCTGCTCCTTCCTTTCTGCTTCTTTCTGCCTCTTTCCTCCTCCTTCTCCTTCCCTCCCTCTCCGTCTCTCTGTGTCTTTCCCTCTCTCTTCTTCTGCCCCCTCTGTCTCTCTATCTCTCTCCCCTCTCTGAGGGAGCATATCTTTAAATGGCCCTTTGTGTCTCATTTTCTTTGCTCTCTGGATGCTATGAGATAAGTAGCTTCCTCTGCCTCATTCCTACTTTATGCTTCTCCTGGCTTCAGGCTCAAAACAAATAGGTCAAATGACCATAGACTGAAACCTCAAAATCACAAGTTCAAAACAATCAGCCTTTTCTCCTACAAGTTGATTTACTCCAGTCATTTTAGCAGCTCTCAAGGACTATTAGGGATGTCCCTTAGGCACCCTCAACACTTGCTTCCTTTCTACATCTCTTGCTCCAAAAAGACTAGAGTCTGCATTCTTTACTGCTTGTTTTTATATTTATTTGCATGTCTGCAGAGGTCAGAAGAGGGTACCAGATTTCTTGGACCTGGACTTATGGGTGGTTGTGAATTATGGGTGCTGGGAATCTCACACCAGTCCTTTGTAAGAGCAGCAAGTGCTCTAAACCGCTGGGCCATTTCTCCAGCCCCTCTGCATTTCTTTTTATTTTGTATTTAGTTCAAACACCAAGGCTCTGTGTAGCCCACCACCCCTGTAGAAGAGCTCCATGCATTTTGAAGTTCTCTTTTGGATTTGTTGTCCTGTTAATTATCACCTTGTGCTGCTTGGGGGGATATTAATTCTCATGATGAAATTAAGTTGTAGCAAGGTCAAGCGACACCAAGCCTCATGTAATGAATCAGTTGGTCTAAAATTAGGATTAAATGCATTTTGAACTATCTTGGCATCTGTTTGGTTCACCCTTGCAAAGCTTAAGCATTTTAGTCATTAGGTGAATCGATTACATGGTGCTTTTAGAGACATAGTGCATTTCATCGATTCTATAAAATTGGAGGGTTTAGGACTACTGGGCTCAGAATTTGGTTCCTGCTGTGTTTGAAAGTGCAAAAATCAATATGAGACCCAGGTATGCTGGTGTACAACTATAATCCCAGGTCATCATCTGAAACACAATGACTGAGGCCAGCTTAGGCTACGTGAGTCCCCATCACAAACAAGCAGACAGACAGACAAAGAAACACACATTCTCCAAGAAAAAAGCAAAATGAAGCCACCGGAAAAGGCTATGAATATAGTTTAGAGATGAAGTACTTTTAAGTTTGATCCTCAGGAACACGCACACACACAGGCACGCAGGTGAAGCAGAAAGATCAGAAGTTCAGGTCTGTGACTGGCCACATACCAAAATCTTGTCCCATAAGTCAAAATGAGTGACACATATCTGTAACCCAAGAGGATCGGGACCTCCTCAAGTCATCCTCATCTACAAAGGGAGTTCAAGGTCAGCCTGGGCTAGAGGAGACTTTGTCTAAAAATAAAATAAATAAAAAGGTAAGTGAGTAAATAAATATTAGCATTTCTAAGCAGAGGGCATTTTGCTCGGGTACTATTCTTTGCTTGAGTTTTGTCATCTTTCCATCCCTGTAATAAATCATTCCTTACTTTTAAAATAGCCTCAGGCTTTGTGCCTCTCTGTCTCTGTCTGTCTGTCTGTCTATGTGTGTGTGTGTGTGTGTGTGTGTATTTGAAACAGGGTCTCTTTGTGTATCACTGGGTGGCTTGGAACTCATGCATAGTTCAGACTGGCCTGGAACTCACAGAAATCTGCCAGCCTTTGCCTCCTAGGTGCTGGGAGATAAGGTGCGCACCACTACAGCTGGCTGAAATGTGTGTTTTTAATGCAGCTGTTGCTGTTATGTTATGAGCTAGGCTGAGGCTAAGGATATGGACTCAGCATCTAGTTCTTCTCTGGGCTTGATTTTCCTGGATGAACAGATCGCAGAGGGAACCAGTTGTTGCCCGTTTCTATTCTCTTTAAATTCTGCCTGCAGATGACACTGTTTTTTCTATAGCTCATCTCCTAGGCAGCTAAGAAGCCAGAGAGCCTGAGAACCAGCCAACTAAACATAACCTCAGATTACTAGTCTGGAGTATAACGAGCTAAATAAATGTCTGCTTTAAAGCGCACAAAGTTGGGAGTGATTAATCCACAGATGTCATAGCTGGGCACTCTCCTGTGCACACTGTCACCTGCCAGTTTGGTCACTTAGCTGGCCTAGAGTCACCGTCTATAGAGATTTTTCAAAAAAGGGTCAAAGGGTATAAAGCATCCAGGTGATTAGTTTAGAAACAGCACTTAAGGGCAGATGACAGTCTGATCCATAGCTTCTGGACCTGTGGCAATTATGGAGCAGCTGGCTGTGATGGGTGGCAGGCAGTCCAATGGGTGAAGAAGGAAATCTTTGTTGTCAAGAGTCCCTGAGATGAGGGGATTGTCACCACAGCATTTCAAACCCCCTCTCCACCCCCCCACTCCCCCGTGATGCCCCACAGGGAGCCACAGGACTACAAAAACCAGAAGCATTTTGGTATTTTCTGGAGAAACTGAAAATTCCAACACTTTTACTGAGCACCCAGCAATTTTGTTCCCAAGCACGGAACCTGGAAACGCACCGAGAGGCGTGCACCCCTCCATAATTCCTTTCGCAGCAGCCTTGTTTTTAAAACTCCAGGTCGTGAGCAAGCCCCATGCGTTGTAGGACTGAAATGAGTAGCTGTGGCTACCGGGTGTTTTGAGACAAGATAATGGCTGGCGAGACAGCTCAGTGGGCAAAGGACACTCAATACCAAACCTGACAGCTGGAGTTTGATCCCCAGGAGCCATAAGGTGGAGGGAGAGAACTGACCGACCCCTGCAGGTTATATTCTGACCTCCCTGTGCATGCTGCAAATGAACACACTTACATACGAAATGTAACTTAAAAACTGGATGAGCAGGGATGAAAATAAATGAGTGAAGCAGAACTAAGGTTCAGCAACCTTAGGTAGATCTGAAAAGGTACATTCTTTGATAGCAAGACAAAGGCACAAAAGCATATATTATATGCAGCAGCTGGTCCCCAATTATTTTCCCTTCCCAATCCTTTTACTTTTTGGTGTTCTCACTAAGCTTCAGAATAGACAACCATTAAATTAGGTTGTCCCTTATGTGGTCAAACTAGGAAAAAAAACCCCAAAAGCCCCGAAGATGTGGATGCCATGCAAGTCAGGCTGTCAGTGTGGTGGGCTCTCTGATGTTCTCCCCCCAGGGAAAGACCTGTCCCTCTGGCTGCTGTGCAGCTCCTGGCAGGTGACCCCTAGATGAGCCGTCAGGATGATTTTACCAGTTAGAAGGGATTCACATCCTTCCGGGATCAGATGTGTCCAGTAGCTGATCAAAGCTGAGTTAGGAATGTCTGCTTTACCCTGTGGGACAGGTCAGGCCCAGGGCTGCCTGAGGGGTTGGCTTAAGCGTGCACTCCCTTCCTCCTCACAGATGTTGATCTTCAGGTAATCCTGTGTAAACATCATTCCTGCTATGTGTGTCAGGGACAGCTTCCTGGGCGCTTCGCTCTGTGTTCCTTTTGTGGAAGGGGGAACCTAGAACTGTGAAGAGGAACATGGATGTTGGCATTTTGTTGTGGCTCTCCCTGCTGCACCCCCCTCCCCCATGGTCTCTATTGTGATGGGGGCCAGATGGGGCGGGGTATGGGAGCATGATCAAAATGAACTTCTGGGATCAGGGCCAGGGAGGCTGATCAACTTTATTACAGGGGTTAGGGTAATGTACAGAACTTTGGAGAGGGGGTGGGGAAACCCAGGGTGTCCAAAGGCCATTGGCTGAAGGGCTAGAGCACTGAGATGCCTTATTTACATAAGAAAGAACCCCAGGTGCTTGCTGAACAGGTTCTAAGTGTGTGTGTGTGTGTGTGTGTGTGTGTGTGTGTGTGTGTGTGTGTG